AGTGTGTGGGCGATATGTATTCTTTTAAGAATGCAAGGCCTTTTATTTTTTTCATGTAAAACATTTCCCGAGACTCATAACCTGGTGAACGCTCAATAACCCAGGTAGAAAAATCTACAGAAGTTTTCTTTCCTGAGAAAAAAAATCCCGAGGCTCTTCTCCTATACATCATTACTGGTTTAAAACTTTTTAAACAAGATTTGGTAATGTGGTATTTCATATGAAGAGGTCTGAGGTCGAAGCATGTTAGAAACTGAAGAATCTTAAGAGTCTTAATGTTTTCATTTCTTTTATTCTTTATCTTCAAAAAACTTGTTCATAGCATCTTCTGTCCTGCTTTCCGTCCCCTGGCTGCAGTGATGTAATCTGAAACTCTCTGAAAGCCTAAAATGTTCCTTTCTGGCTATTTGGGCTTTCTCAAAGAGTTCCCTCTGGAGTCTCTCTGCTCTCTTTTCCTGTACGAAGTCTAACTTGTAGCCAAGCTCACAAGAACAAGAATAACTTCACTAAAATAAATCCAAGTACTCACATCTGTCCGTTTTCAACAAAATAGAAAATACAATGTATAATGTGTAAGAATGCAAATTAAAATAAGCACTAATCACAAGCGCATAGGATGGAATAAGTGTAAAATACAAGAAACAGGGTTTGTTTAACGTTGTAGAGCTTATAAAAAATAATTTAATCAATTAAAGGTCCAACATTCATTGAAGGAATGCATATAGTTACAGTTCTTTTGACCAATGCATGATCTCAGGCAGCCATATTGAACTGACTTGACCCTAAATGGTAAATATATGCTGTGCAATGTAGAGCTTAGATGATGTGTTGGGAATGACTCTCAGCTACTATCACACAAAATATTAACTCATTACCTGTAAAGTTGGCTGAGTTAGAGCTATTTTCATGTTGGCTAATGTTGTTTAGCTGTGGCAGCCATATTGAATTGAGCTTGCTCCAAAATGAAATCGTTTTTAAATGTTGATTCAGTGTTTACTCTCTGTGAGTTTTATTAAAATTCATCCAGAGATTCATGATATAATAATAATAATAATAATAATGTCATCACAATGTCAGCACTGTATGTTTCCATACAATGGCGAAATTAGTCTCTGCATTTAACCCATCCACCACCAGGTGGTGCAGTGGGCAGCTATTGAAAGCGCCCGGGGGACATTTTGGGGATGAGACGTGCTGCCCAGTGACGCCACGTGATGTGCAGTGACTGGGGATTGAACCTGGGACTTTCGGGTCCCAAGTTTTGCTAACTGACAAACCAATGCAGATATGGACCTGGGCAGAAAAAAAAAATACAGCTGCTTTGCTTTCAGCAGCAGTAGAATAAAAACCCTTGAATCAACTTGTAAACGTACACTCAAGCCGGAACTCTTTTTAAATAAAAATCCACTTTATTTCTGCAAGCTTTTAATCAGCATTTTTTTTCTACCTATTCAATCATTTGTAAAGCACTTTCAAATTGCACTGAGCTGACAACAAACATTAATTTTGATTAATTTGAGTTACATAAAAGCTTAATCTAAAATCTTGAAAAATCTTTTCTAAGCAAGGCCTTAAAAAAAAAAAAAAAAGGTCCGGGTGAGTACAATTCACAGTTCTGGGCATTTTCTTCTTGCAAAGGAGATGTTGACAAAATTATTCTGTCTGTTCTCGTCACAAGATTAAAGGTTTAAGTCTGTGGTGTTTTGATGCTCTACAGATCAATGACATTATCGGAATCAATGTTTGTATGTGTTATATAATCCGGCATCTTCCTAATTAAACCCAATAACTCCATCTATTAGTATTTCAGTTACTTTGATGGGAGCCAAACAGGATTACTGTCACACTGATACCTCTGAGTTTGCAAATGTCTGGTGTCGATAAGGACTGTGACCTCTTCTCTGGTTGGTTTTGTGGTTCTTCGACCAGATGTGTGCAGTTGAAGCACGCCAAGAATCTGATTAATAGCAGCTGGGTTTATCTAAAGCTCTTGTCATGCTTTAAAGTGTTATCTTTGTGTAATGATGCAAGACAAAGCAACACATTTCCATCTTTGATCATAAAACATCTCTATAAAAATGCAAGGCTTTGATTGTTGGAATATTTTTTGGCTCTTAACTCTTATCATTTTCTAATTAGATTAATTAAAGTGAGCAGCTGCAAGGCGTTTTGATAGCGCGGGGAAAAAAACCTGCGCCTGCGATCACAGATGAAAACGCACACACTGGATAGAGAGTGGAAGGAAAGGCTTTCAATAATCTTTCAATATTTCCTCTTGGTTCACTTAACCTCATGCTGATCATTTCCACTGGATGCTAATAACTATTCATGCATCTGCAACGCTGACTGCATACTAATTCTGCAGGTGCACGGAGCCGTCCACAGTGAGCTGAAGAAAGGCATGGGTGGATATCCTGCTCTGACTGAATCACAGTCGCAGCAGTTACTCAACTAAACCTCCTTCTAGGCTTTTAGCTATGAGTGACCCACTGAGTGAAAACAGCTAATGATGCCAATATGGCTGACAAGTGCGTGTGAAACTCTGCATGCATATTTTATGCATTCATGACATTTGGAATTACAATCATGACATATTAGGGTAGTTCTATCCTAAAATAAAAACAAAAACAAACAAGCAGATGTTGTTTTTTCATTATTAAACTTAACAACAATGTCTGAAAATCATTTTAACGATAAGAGATTTAGCCCAAGAACATCTTGTGGTGAAAAATTACGGCGCTGTTTGGGTCAAATCTCAAGAATAGGATTGTGTGCAATCTCATGCAATGTTGCAATGTGTTACGCTCACACTACGAGTTATAAACGATTCTACTATCAGCTAATACCGCATCAGGTTTTAGCTCAATATCTGTGAAATCTTTGTGTTTTCCCAGCAGAGTAGGCCGTGACGGCCATCTGGGTGGAGCTAAAAAAAAAGCTGCTCCTCCTCGTTGAAAAGAGTCAGCTGAGGTGGTTTAAGCATTTGATTAAGATGCCTCCTAGGTGTCTAATTCTGGAGGTTTTTGGAGGATGTCCCTCTGAGAGAAGACCCAGAACTCACTGGCAGGATTATGTAGCCTTTTTGGTAACGTCTTGACATCTCCATGAAGGAACAAGAGTGTCCCTGTGGAGAGGAACGTCTGGGTTTTCCTCAATGATCTCTTTCCTCCATTACCAAGATATGGATAAGTAGTAAAAAAGTGAATGTATTTCCAAATAAAACCACAATGATTAATTCCTCCAAATCTAAGGTCATGATCCTCAGTTGGAAAAGGGTGGATTGCTCTCTTTGGGTCAAGGTTGAGGTTCTTCCATAAGTGGAGGAATTTAAGTATCTCAGGGTTTTGTTCACAAGTGAAGGAAGAATGGAGCGTGAGATTGACAGACGGATTGGTGCAGCATCTGCAGTATTGTAGACTCTCTGCCGATCTGTTGTGGTAAGGAGGGAGCTGAGCTGTAAGGTAAAACTCTGTTTACCGGTCGGTCTACGTTCCTACCCTCACCTATGGTCAAGAGCTCTGGGTAGTGACCAAAAGAATGAGATTGTGGATACAGGCAGTTGAAATTAGTTTCCTCCGTAGGGTAGCTGGACTCTCCCTTAAAGATGGGGTGAGAAATTTAGTTATCCAGGAGAGACTCAGAGTAGAACCGCTGCTCCTCCACATTGAAAGGAGCCAGTTGAGGTGGTTCGTGCATCTGGTAAGGATGCTTCCAGAGCGCTTCCAGAGCGCCTCCCTCGGGCAGTGCTTCGGGCATGTCCGACTGGGAGGAGACCCCAGGGAAGACCCATGACACGCTGGAGAGACTATGTCTCTCGGTTGGTCTGGGAACACATTGGAGTCCTCCCAGAAGAGCTGGAAGAGATGGCTATGGAAAGAGATGTCTGGACCTCCATGCTCAAGCTACTGCCTCCATGACCCAACGTCGGAACAAGTGGAGGATAATGGATGGATGATTAGTTTGAAGCTGGGATACCAAATTTTGTTGGCATATGATTTAGAATTTGAATACATACTAATCTCAATCAGTGAATCTTCAATACAATGAGCCCAACATCACACAGACAATCAGACAATGAGATACGTTTCACAGAAATGTTATATTTAGTGTGGTGAATGTATGACAATAAAGTGAAAATACTACGGTTTTAACATATTGCACTCACAAAAACTTCCTCACACACATTTTCAAGCTTAATATGTTCCATATGTATAAACAGAATGTGGTTGTTCTGACATCTTCCGGTTATACTTCTGATCATTTTTCTACAAAACTGTAACATTAGAGTTTAACTCTGCTCTGTAAACAAGAAAAAGCTCTTGAAATTTGACCTGCAAAGGTCAGAAACCATGTCTGTGTGTCATTTAATTAGTGTAAATGTACTCTGAATGGTTTAAAAAGGTTGTTAAAAAAAAAAGAAAAAGAGAACTGAGTAGATTCGTAAGAATCAGTGTGATCCAACAAACTGGTAGTCATGTTCCGTAAATGTCTACCGCTTAAATCTAAAGATGAGTCATAACTAACTTCCCTGAAGTTGAAACTCGGGAATCTCTTTGGCTCATCATTTTATCATTAAAAGCAAACCTCCATCATTTTGTTTAGACTTTGCATTTTCTGTGCTACTGTGTGTTCAAGCAATTAAGGCAAGAGTCAGCAAAAGAACAGGTTTCCAACACCCTGTGGTATCATCTTTATGCCTTTAAATCCTCCTGCTAATATGTGGGCGAAGCGGTCCTGTTTACTTCGAATACATCAGAGGGAAGTTAGTAATAATAATAAAGTCACTTCTCTGCTTACGAGCCTTCTTAAAGTTTTAATCCCCTCTTTTAATACAACACACGTATTCAAAACAAGAACAGATTGTTTGTCCAAGTCTAAAATTATTCAGATGGTTTCCTGAAATTGAGATTTGTTTCTTCTTACTGCACTGACCACTAAACCACTTCCACAAAACAACTACATACTTTTAGACGACGTTAGTTCAGGGAGTGTGTGCATACCTGTACTCTTCCTGAGTGAACACGGGGATGATTGACGGCTGAAGGACTGTGATTTCAACCAGAGTCGTGTTCTGCTTCACAGGCTCACCATGATCATAGGCCACCACCAGCAGCTGTCAAACACACGCAGTCTGAATGTCACCATATAGATTACATTTATATAATGCATTTGCTCTTGTTCAAATATTCATTGCATAACGTGAGAAAATAGGACGGCAACGGAATAGCAAGACATTAATAAATAAAAAGCACACTATTGGCAAAAACAAACAAACTGGAAAACAGAACAAATGTGTTCCCTTTGGTATGATTATGTTTTTCTGCTTGCTTAGACTCCAATTAATTGATAACTACTGTTAACATGACCCAAAGGACTGCTAACGAGGGCCGACCCTAAATGTAAATACACTTTAATATATTATCCTCCAGTACTCCAATTTAAATAAGAAATTGTTACAAATATCCTACTCCCTTCAGCATTTACCAAAAACCTGATCAATCCAGGCATTCTGAAATAAATTGCCAATGTGATTTTTATTTTTAGGACTAAGAAGCTTGATTAGAATTATCAAAACTGATCACAGATCAGAGATTTTTAAAGAGATCAACTACTTGCACATGTTGGACATGATATGTTATTTCCCTGTTCAAAAGTTGTTTGTGACGGATGAAAACATTAAATTATTTTATATTTATCACTAAGAGGCATCACCATTATTTTACTGTTGCAATGTATTCTGGGGCAATGATGCACACAAAAGTTGTAGTCAGGGCAAATATGGTGTGTGTGTGTGTGTGTGTGTGTGTGTGGGGGGGGGGGTTGTCTGGGGGTCCTCCCCCAAAACATTTCAAATAGATGCCATTTCCTGCATTCTGATGTATTTTAACATCTACATTTACCTACATAAGTAAACACTTGATTCAATAACTATTTTAGAGTTAATGGTACAACAAGAATAAGCCTGACCAACAGATCTCCTTGTGTGGATAGAACAAGCTCCACTTATCTAAAGAATTCTAACACCCCCCCCCCCCCCCCACCACCGCCAGTGTCGAGTCCTATCTCCATTGCCACTACCTTCATGCGCTTCAATTCTCAGTTATTTAGTTGTCCAATGAGAAGACTTTTTTTAAATGAAAGTAAATTGGACTGTCTTCTCAACATTTTGATCTGTTATTGTGACAAATTTGTGCAGTTGTTTGGATACGTGATCACTCAAACATTTCTCATATTTTTAATAAATAATCACATTTTATTAATGACCCACTTAAACTGTAAAGCTGATTGGCAGTTTAGTTGTGCTGTTTAATTACACTTTTGTGTTTTTAATTAAATTGCCCATGACTGAACTTTTTGTGGCGGAGATTTTTTAAGCGTAGAAGCAAAAATGCTTACTTGAAGGGGTCGCTCTTATGTGATATTAGGAAGCTCGTAAGTGGCTGTTGTGTTTAAAATATGAGCTTATGTAAGTATTTTCAGATTACATATCTAATGTAGGCTTTGTTCGTTCAAGGCAGTCAAATTTGGTCATAACTTTATTATTAGTAAGCCTGATCCAAGCAAACAGTTACCGGAATGCACCCTGTCAAAATAAGAGATCCTGTATTCTGTTCCGGCAGGATCCGGCTCAAATTAAGACCTGGTTGTAGTCAAAACTAACACACAAGGAGCTAAGCGATCAGTTCATCTACCTCTAGTTGTGGAGTTTGAGGCAAACATGTATGGCCTTTTATTGTTTGTGTCAGGCATAATTCAAAATTTGTTCACAGCAGGGGACGTTTGGTTTGACTTATTTAGAACAAACATGGTAAGATTAGTCCCTTGAGCAACTTCACAGGAGGCTGAAGTCCTTGTGTTAATTAATGGCCAATCAAAATATGAAATTAGCATGACTCAAAGGCTCATTGAAGCATGCGCCTGAGGACTGATGGTTTTGGAACTAATAAGTTACAGCAGTATTAGCTGCACTCTGAACAGGGATTTAGATGAGTAGGAAGACATCTTTGTAGACACACATAATGTGTGTAGGCAGGTAAAATCTGAACAGGGCCATCGAATTAATGTTTAACGACCCAGTTTATCTGATGGACTCACAACTTTGCAAAATCCAGAAGCAAAACGAAACCACAGCACATCAGATAAATCTACTGTCGGAATAACAGAACAGGTTCGGTGCCAAGGTTTACAGTAACAGATCAATGTGATTGATTGGAAATTACATTATCTGATGCTCCACAGTTTATTAGAAAGACTCCCGACCACATGATTAAATCTAATGCACTGAAGGCCTAACAGAGAAGTGAATTAATATCTGCACAGTGGGTTAATCGTCAACTTCACCGTCTGTCATAAACAAGATAAGACTTGACTTTTTGTGTATCTTCTCTCAAAGGGTGCTTAGAGTTCAAGTTTGTAAGGTCTTGGCAGTTATAGTCCCACAAATGTATTTCACTCTTTTAAATTAGTGCAGGATTTGTGCAGAAAACACTCCTCAAACATTCTGTTGCTAACAAATATTTGATTTAAGAACGCTGCTTTGGTGGTGGTCAGTCTTACCCCTGGTTCTAATTCTCCATCTTGAAAGTTTCAATGTTATAGGCAGTTTGTAGAAATTTGCTAAAGTTAAAAAAAAGTGCTGGTTTGAAATCTTTTTTTTTTTTGGTCTGGGTGTCAATTCTTGCCATATCCCCAAGCTTCACAATGACGTCAAACATTATACAAAGGGATTTACGGTTTTACAGCAGCCAGCAGAGAAAATAGTTCAAATAAAATTCAATGAATACAGTAGTCCCTTGCTACTTCGCGTTTCGGCTTTCGTGGACTCGCTCTTTCGCGGTTTTTCAAACGTAAGATTGTACACAACACGATTGGCTGATTAATGGAAGGCGACCAACCAGAGCACTGTGCTCTGTATCCCGGGCGCTGATTGGCTCAGTAACCATAGCAGTCTGTCCGCTCTCTTTCACTGTGCTCTTTTGTGATATTTACTTCAAACTGTACGATGGAACCCAAACGTTCTGCATGTTCTAAAGTTTCAGGCAGCGAACCGAAGCGCCAGCGATTGATGCTTACTATAAGAGAGAAGGTTGATATTGGAGCTCTGGACATGTTGAAAGAAGGGAAAACCTACAGTATGTGAACGTTGGCTGCCATTATGGAATCAACAAAGATGGAATCTGCATTAGCCATGTGGATTAATTGTTGCTGTTAAAAAGGCCAAACAACTTTATGATCATCTGGCGTCAAAAAGGGACGATCAAAATGACGATGGTAATGAGGAAGAGGACAACGAGGAGGACGACGCTGAAGCAGGACCATCATCACTAGAGCTGGACAATAATTCGATAGATATATATCGTATATCACGATATAATTTCATTCAATAATGGTGATATGAGTTTTAAGCCCATTTTTGATATTTCGATGTGATTACAGTGTTTCACTGACGCGTTTCTTTTTCTGTTCGGGTCGAAGCGGCCACTTCAGTTTCAAGCCAAATAGAAAAAGCCACAATACATCTAGGTAAGTACATGGTGACGTACACCACAGCTCGAAGGAGTCAGCAATAGCAGGCTAGGCTAGGCTAAGCTTCAAGGTTTTAGCTTCAAAATGAGTGCCCATGACAGTCAGAATTTGACTGAACAAGCTTTCACAAGCGAAGAGGAACCAGATGACATAATTGATGAGAGAGGAAAGACTAATTCGGCGGTGTGGAAGTGGTTTGTCTAAGTGTGCTGCAAAATGTGCCGGAGAGTCATTCCAACTAGCGGTGTGAACACATCTAACTTGTTCCATCTGAAGAGTTTCCACTCGATAGAATACGCTGAGAGTCAGAAGATGAAGCACAATAAAAGTTTGAGCCAACGTGTCCCTGAAACAACACCCCCAGCTGTATCAAAAGAGAAACCCATGCAGGAAACAAACATTTGCTACATGGGTTAGGTTATGTTGTTTAAAGTTAAAATTATTAATACTGACAAAGTTGAGAGAATTTATTTGTACAGTTTGTACAGTTTTTCCTGAGGCTTTTATATTGTTTACATCGATAACGGAATTATATCGTTATCGACCAAAATTAAGAAATATATCGTGATAAAAGTTTTGGCCATATCGCCCACTGGACCAACCCCATTAAGTGTCAGCAAGGGCTGGTTTGACAAAGTTCAGAAATGATTTGGACTTTAGGAGCATTTCTCTGCACAGAGAGGCTGCCTCTGCGTATACAGCAGAGTAACAACATGTTCAAGGATCTGTGAATGCTCTTCTTGGCTGTGCAGTACATCTTCATCTCATCTTCACCATCTTCATCACCTTCATCGTCATCAGCACTGGACAGCTAATTCTTCATCTTCATCTCTTCTTCATCATCACCGTTTAGTACCCATATACAGTTTTTATTCGTTAAAAGGTTTGAGTTTAGAACATTGTGAAGAGCATTGCAAGAGTGTGGGGAGGGTTTATAAAGCCTTAAACTATATATAAATACCAACATAAATATAGCGTTCCTACTTCGTGGTTTTTCACTTATCGTGGGGTTCTGTGGAACCTATTCCCCATGAAAACGAGGGTCTACTGTAAACAGATTAGAACTAAAACAAATATTTCTGAAGATCTCAGAACTAGAAAACTGATTTAAAATGTAGGCAGGTTTAAAAATTTATAAGCTATTTTAGTGACTCAGATCATTTTTCTAATGAGATTCTGACTCATGCACCTCCAGCTGGATTGACATTGCATCACCTTAGAGATCTTATTTGCTGTGTGAATAAAATAAACAGTTGCTCTTTGAAAATCTCCAGCCCTGATAAACTTAGAAAGCATTTGCTCTGGTACTAAAGTGCCATCCATGTGCATACTTACACTGAACTTTAGGTTGGGCTCCTCATTAAGGTTTACTTTGGTAACCACATGTCCCATCTTTTCCTCTACTTCAAATATACTGGCAGAGTATGGATATGCCTCCTGGTCCACCTTGTAGCGAACAATACCTGCTGGCGTACCCTGTGAAGAGGACCATCAGAAAACAGAAGACTCACATTTAGATGAATGTTTGAGTATAAATTTTCTCTTTTAAGTTATTTGGAAAATTGCCACTCATGCAGAAGTTTAATCCAGAGGCTTGAAAGTGAAATCTAGTGTATGATCAAACGTGTAATAACTTTGACAATAGTGGACTGAAATGTCATACACATACAACTAAATGCTAATGGATCCAAAATACACAGATGCGCATAACTTTAAATAGATACGTCTAAAGAGTCATGATTCATACTCTTTAGAGTTGCTGGTAATGAGCAGCTATCAGTTAGTAGAAGTTATCTGACACAAATGTCAGGAAAGAATAAATTGCTCTGTGTTGATGAGGTTTGTGTGATCGCTGATTTCACCGCAGGCTTTACAGAGTGGCCTCAAGAGTGAAGAAAAATAAAATAAACTGCTGTTATGAGAAAGGAAACATTAGTATCAGTTTATAGATATTAAGTCTATGGTTGATTCACACTTGGTAAAAGGGTTACAGGGCTGTACAACCAGAAAAAAAAAAAAAAGCCAATTGTCCCATGAATTAATTAACTTGTAAACAGACAATAACTCCTCCAGAATCAAGCAGAAAAATATCCTTGCTGGAGATATTTTAGGTCCTTATAAAAAATAAAAAAAACGACATATACCGGTAGTTTTGCCTTTTTCGTCCAGTTTGAACTAAACAGTGTTTAACAGACCTCATGTCAAACAAAAAGTCTGAGAAACTCCTAAACTGAAAGGTAACTTTCTCTAGACAGGAAAGATGCCCCAAAAAATGTACTGTGACAAATACTTTTAAACTTTGTGCGTGCCTGAAGCCTAAAATCTCCCAAGTTTACTTTTTCCTTTTCTCCTCCTCAACTATAAATGGCGGGGCTTTTCTCTGAGGATGTGTCAGAGACACAAATGCTGCAGCTGGAAAAACTACTTATTTACTGGATATTTGTCTCCCAGCAACCAGCGATTAACGTATATTCTCACAGCACTATTTATGAAGAGGTCTGCACAGTAATAACCTGCCGTAGCTTTATTTACTCTCTTTCTGTCGCGAGAGTTGGAAAAAACAAAAACGGTTGGATATTTAACACTTAGAAAGAGATTAAGACTTTGTTTTCATGTCTGTGTTTATTCAGCATAATGCAACATTCATAGGAATGTCTCTTCTATTTAGGATATATTTTGTATGAAAAATGTGTGTGTTTTTTTTAAATTAGGCGCTAAAGATCTGCTGAATTGTGGCACTTGTGTTCAGCAGTCTTGTACAGTAATTACTCAAACTTGTTTTTAGGAAGTGTTTTTGGATTGATATTTACTGTAGAAACTTTGTGCAACCATGCAACATGAATATTGATATACTGGTACCATGCACTCCAGCTATGGGAGCTATAGTTGATGTCTAGTCCGAGTGTTGTCTCCATGTTTTATCTTATCTTAAACACAACTGTATTTTTACAGTTTATCTATGCCTTTTCTATGGAAATATGATTTTCTGCTGTTTTAATGAACTCACTCACTGAGAAACAAATAAGTTTATTTATAATTTCTTTATTACCCTATTGTGCCAATGAAGTGCACATTCTATTCTATTCTATTCTATTCTATTCTATTCTATTCTATTCTATTCTATTCTATTCTATTCTATTCTATTCTATTCTATTCTATTCT